ATGGTAATTTTATGTTTAAATTTTGAGGAATCTCAATATTGATTTTTAAATCAAGAAAAACAACAACATAGAAGATGCAGCTTGCCAATAGCAGAGATGAATGAAATTAATTTACTTAGTTGGGATAAGGGATTTCACCAGAATGAGTTCAGCTGTGGAGAGGACACTTTGATATAGTAGAATCTCTACTCCCTTTAACCATATAGGTGGACCTGGCCCATATTTAAGAATGATAAACTCATTCTTTTTTTTTTTTTTTATAAACTCATTCTAATATGAAGGAAAGGAAAGAAATATATGTGAATCATAATCTGCCGTTGGCTTATTGTATTAGTAAGTCAAAAATTACTGCCTTGGATACAAACTGCATTTAAAAATGAAGTCCTTTATAATAAATGACCATTATAGAAATATCCAGTGTCAGAAATGCAGTTACATGAATCAGAGAAAAAAACCCGTATAGTATTACCCATTAATCATATTCATTTAAATAAAACACTGATTTTATTAAACAAAATTAACTCAATTTCCTTCACATAAGGAGTATTTTTTACATTGGTTTTTGTGGTTTCTTTTGCTCTGAGTTTTCTAAACCCTTCAATATTTTTCAAATACTTTGTTTTATATATATCATTATGTTGAGATTAGATAATTTTACTAAGCAATTAAACAAATACATGTTTTAATAGAAGAGGAGCCCCCACTTCACACGCTTGTGACTTCACCTTTGTTCTCATTGTCTTGGACTGATTTCAACACCCCACCCTGCATTTGTAAAATGGGCTCCACAGTAAGAATGAGTGGGGACCCAGCCTTACTCTGTTGTTGCTGGGGCAGAAACTTGTGAGAATGAACAACTTGCCCTTACAAGTTCACACAGGCCATCCTATTACTAAGTGGAATTCCTAGGTCATTACTGCATCTACCTCTCCACTCGCCAAGTGTGAATAATAAGAATCTGAGCACTTGCTCTTTTCTACTTCCAAAAGCTTTTATTTTTAATTTTAATTTAGTATCTACAATGTTTGGAATAGACAATTCTACTCTTTAAAGATATAGTTGCTAGGAGAAGTGTGAATTTAGGATTACCAGGCCACAAGGAATTGGCACCCCGTTACTAAATAATTGCATGCAAAGTACAGGTTCAAGCTCAAACTTTTATTAATTGGGAAAAAAAACCCATTCTTCATAATGTTTATGTTTTAAAAGTTATTCAGGGGACTCAAAGGAAATCTAGACAATTAAAAAAAATACATGCTAGTACATAAAACACACACTAATCATGTTGAAAAACTCAGGCAGTACCTCATTATTTAAGACCTCTTTGAGCTATATGGAGGACATAGCCTTTCTAGGTGTGAATTCATGTCTGGCTACCCACTGGCCAGCTGATCCAGGGAAGCCATCCTCCCCCTCCTAAATTATGTGTTACCAACTCTAAATTCAGGTTCTAAAATTCCTATATCATTCCTCTTTATTAAATGAACTGAGTTAGGCAAAAGTCTTGTAAATCATAAAACCATAAAACATGCAAATGTTTGGAAAGGTTTTTTGTTTTTCTTTTCCTGTTTACTTTAGAAAGCAATCATCTAATAGAGCAAAAGGAAGCCAGGATAATTAACTAGAAGATTGTCTCAGTTTCTAGTACAGAGGTAGTGAGATTAGAGATTAGAGAATAATATGGCAATAAGACTGGATAGCGAGGATTTGTTTTTTAATTGAGAAAAGTGTTTATGATTTGATGGGCACATAGAGAAAATAAAGAGTGAAAAGACAAGATCATTACCATCAGTGGCAGGAATAGAACTGCTAAGATGTTAGGGTAAATGGAAATCATGGAAAAGGAAGTGGGAAGTTCTCTTCTGGATTTGATGAGATTAAAGAGATGACAAGATCATTAAACCAAGAAAACGTGTCAGCCATCTTGCAACTTGGAAGGACACTCAGGACAAGCCAATAAGGACAGCAAAGGGGAATGCCCCAAATCCTGGGTCCTTGGGTCATCTTGCCGCTAAATAACCAACTTTGGGACTGACTTTGTCTTAACTGTGTATTTTGCTACTTGCAGCCAAAACCATCCTACCCAAGATAACAGTGAAGTTGAATTGAACAAAAAATAAAATAATCTTGGTAAGATAACTAAAAGGATTATAGATATTTTTAGTCAGTTTACAATTCTTTGTGTTTGAGAAGGGCTATGTCCTTAAATATAGTAATTGCTTTTTCTTTTTGCTACAGATTTCCCTCCTTTGGAGACCCAATAAGGTAAATTGAAGAATAACAGCTGCAGTGGAAAGACAGAAGATAATCCACTTGTGATTTAAAAGATTACTGATGTGTTTTTAAATGGCAATGTAGAAGTTACATGTCTAGAAAGCACTGTTTAGTTCAAAAAGCATTTATTTTGTCTCTAAATCAGGCATTATGCTAAATTGTGAGCTCCTGCAGTTTTAGATATGAGTTGTTAGAAAAGATATTTCATTTTATGAGAATGATTCACTTTCCTAAAATCCTATCCTAACTCTGAATATATGAAGATGGATTAGACCATAATCATTTATACTGATGATGATCTCACATCTCAGCTCCTCTGTTTGAGAGAGAAACCTTAAAAGGACAATGCTCCAGGTTTCTTAAACTTTTATTGATAAAAACTTGAGTTATATTTCTCCCCAGGATACCTATAATACATTAAAGTGAGTTATATTTTAGCTATCATTCTGAGTAATTAATACTATGTTCCTTTCTGAGAAATGTGTTCATATATCAAATAGAGTTTTTTAAGATGACCACTAAGTTACTGATTAAAAGAATAATAGGAAATATTTATCATGCTTACAATGTGCCAGATATTCCCAATCCTCAAAACAAGAATGATTATTATCACCACTTTCTGGCTGAAGAAACGAAGGCAGTGTGGTAGGGGAACTTGCCGAACTAAGAGTTGGAATCAGAATATATATCCAGGCACCCTGACTCCAGACTCCACACGCACTTCACTTACATCCTACAACACTCCAGATGAAAATAAAGTGAGGGTATTGTCACTTCTTTTATGATCTTAAGTATCTAAACATTTATTTTTTAAGTAGCTTAAAAATACTACTGGAAGAAGTACAAACTTCCAGTTATAAAATAAGTCACAGGGATGAAAAGTACAGCATAAGGAATATAGTAAATAACATTTAATAATGCTGTATGGGGACAGATGGTGATGACACTTCTCATGATGATGACTGAGTAATGTGTAGAATTGTTGATCCATTATGTTGTTCATTTGAAACATATAACATTGTGTATCAACTATACTTCAATAATAAAAAAAAATACTACTGGATAGTTAAGCATCCAACTCTTGATTTCGGCTCAAGTCATAATCTCAGGGTCATGAGATCAAGCCCCACCTCAGGTTCCACACTGAGCATGAAGGCTGTTTAAGATTCTCTCTCTCTCTCCCTCTGCTCCTCACCTCAGCTCACACATGTGCACTCTCTTTCTCTCTCTCTCTCTCAAAAAAAAAAAAAAATACTACTGGAAACTTTAATAAGTATTCTATAAAGAAAGATTTCTTCAACACATAAAAATTAGAGGAAACTTTTCTGACTGAGGGGCATCCTACAGCTAAATAGGTCAGTGAGGTGTAGGATGACCTCCATGACCATACATTGGCTCTCTCTATTGAATGATGTAACAAAATAGCATTTCCACCTTCCCTAAAGCCATCAAACACTCAGAAAGGAAGAGTCAATGTCAACTTCTTCTTGGCTTCAGAAGAAGTAGCTAAATTTTGGCCCAGGTTTCTCTAATCCAAGCCTTGCTTGGCTTCCCCATCTCTGAACGTCCTCCTTCCAGCAGCTGCACTAAAGTTTTTGTTTGTTTTGTTTTGCTCTTGTTTTATTTTTCTTCTTGGGTGCTAGACATCCATTGATGATCTGAGGGATAATTCGCAGCCCCGACCTTCCTACTGATACATCTATACTCTTCTCCCATGATTGTTCATTTAAGTACAAAGTGTAATGGAGCAAGAATCCCTAACACGTGGTGTCTTTGGTAGATTATTTCACTTCAGTGTGACTCACCTCCTCATTTTCAGATCAGGACTGTTACCTGCTCGGAAACAGTTGCTGGGAGGGCTGCATGGATGATCCATGTCAAGTGGGTGGGCGGTGTCTGGCAGGCGACACACACTCAGCCACCCTGACGACTGTTGTTATCATTAAGAAAATGACTCCATAAGATTCTCATGAATTCTCTTGCTCTGGGTTCAGGCATCACTGGTTTTATCTTGTGCTTTATCTTTTAACAATAGTTTTTAATATACATTCCAGCACTTTTACATAGAAAAGTGTTTTTAAAAATAGTTTTTAGTATTTCAGTAGCAATTGGGTTGGTGTTTGATGATTTGCCCTGGTACCTCAGTTGTTTTCCATCCAGATTTTTTAATTCAATAGTTCGAAGGTCTATTCTGTTTAACTTTTTTCTGGAGAAAAACCTGCCTATATATTTTATACCCACTATGAATTCAGAATATATTTGCTAGTAAGTGAGATCCATTTTGCTTTCCCTATATGCTGCCCTCATCTTACTCAGTATAGGTTGTCAACTTTTTTTTCTGGGGGAAGGAGGTATAGATATACTTTTGAGTATGAGGGAAGAAAGATTAGGCTTCCAATTTTGCCTTTCTCATTCTTAGTTACACAAAGTAAAATCACTAAAGAAGTAATAGAACTTCTAGTCAAATTCCAAACTGGTGCAGCCACTATGCGGCATGGAGTTTCCTCAAAAAATTGAAAATAGAACTACCATATGATTCAGCAATTCCACTTCTGGGTATTTCCCGAAGAAAATGAAAACACTAACTGGAAAAGATATAAGTGCCCCGATGTTCATTGCAACATTATTTACAGTAGTAGCCAAGGTATGGAAACAACCTAAGTGTCCACTGATGGATGAATGGATAAGAACAATATGGTGTATAAATACAAATGAATATTGCTCAGCTATAGAGAAGAAGGAAATCTTGCCATTTGCAACAACATGAATGGACCTTGAGGGCATTTTGCTAAGCAAACTAAGTCAGACAGAGAAACACAAATACTGTATGTTCTCACTCATATGCAGAACCTGAAAAGAAAACAAAACAGAAAAAACAAAACAAAACAAAACACTGAACTCATAGATACAGAGAACAGGTTGGTGGTTTGCGGTTGCCAGAGGCAGGGCATTGGGGGGATGGGCAAAATGGGTGAAGGCTGTCAAAACATACAAACCTCCAGTTAAAAAATAAATAAGCCTTGAGCATGTCATAGACACCATGGTGACTCTAGTTAATAATACTGTATTGTATATTTGAAAGTTGCTACAAGAGTAGATTTAAAAGTTCTCATCACAAGAGAAACATACATCATATATATAGATGTACAATTCACTAAAAACTGCTTCCAAAAACTTTATTCAACAGAAATTATAATAGCCTACAAATAGAATCTTGGAGACACACTGTTAAATCACTCTGGTTTCCTTAATTACTACCATGATGCTACTAAAAATAAAAACAAAATTGAAATGACCAGTAACATTTGCCAAACATTATGCTCTTTCCTGTCATTCCCATCAAATAATATCAAGAAATGATATAACTTTATCAGTTTTAATGGTCATATCCATGAAGCTAAGGATAGTGTATAAATTATTGACTTTTGGAAAGAGAGAAAACGTGAAATATCAAAACAGCTTGCTTGCTCTCTGTGAAGCTCCAGGTCTTGATCTCCATTACTAGCAAATTTGTTCACCAACTGCCTTTTTCTTCAGTCAGCGCCATATCCTACATGTATTATCCTTGCTACCTAATAAAACAAATTTCACCAAGTTATTTTTTCTTTATTTCATTCACTAACTCTCCCTTTTTACAAGTTGATCTTCTCTGGGACATTGACGATGGTCAATGTACTCAATGTGCCCAGCTGTGGAGTCTTTGAGCTGCTCCGGCATTTGGGGGGCAAGAATTTTCTATTTTTAATGATTCCTGTCAGTCATCAATTGGGCAAGTTCATGTCCTACTCATACATGTGAGATTCATGGCATCTCAGAACTGGAGCCCTGAGAATGCAGCCTTCCCCTCTGCTCATTCCCTCTGCCCTCCCCTCAAACAGTGCAGTCAAGTGGAAAGACAGTGAATTTGAACATCACCAGATCAGGGTGATTAACTTATGAGGCGGCAACACATTCCACTTCAGAACATTTCAAAATGTCAACGGATTTTTCTCATTGTTGGTAACATGTGAAATGTGCATTCTTTTACCTCCCCACTGCTATGATAGACACTCTTCCAAAGCAGCTCTAATCAACTGCTGCCCAAGGGTGCCATTCACATTCACTCTGCCTTTGGAAATGACCACTCTGGTATGGAGCAGCGCTGGGCACTGCTGGTTCTCTGACCTTTGGGAGCCAGGCACATAACATTAATATAAGAAGTGTGCTGGTTACATGGATTGGGAGAGCCTATAAAAACTGTTCATTCCACCAAAAGACACCTCATCTTCTAAAAAAAAAAGATAAATGACCATGCTGGCCAAGTTCCTTCCATTTCGTGATTTCAGGCCCAACCTCAGGCAGCCCATGAAAACTCAAGCAGTTAATCACACCTGGGCCCGTCAAGAAAAGGGGGTAGATCCATTCAAACAAAGTGATTGTTCTGGTGATGACAAGACATAAGTGTCACCCCCCTTGTAGTAAGCTCGCCCATCCAGCAGGCCAGTATTTAGCACTTTGGTGCTTTGAGAGACACTAAATAAATCAGTAATGTCTTAACAAGCTCAGGATTGCAAATGCCAGCAGCAAAACAAGGCATAAACAATGTTCTTCCCTAAAGTCTCTTAGGATCTCCTGTGACTCCGGGAAGAGGTACCACACAGCTGGTCTAACATGAACTATGTAGACCAGAAAAGGCTGGTCCTCTGACAAAACAGCCCCAGCTTCCTTTTCCTTACTTACCATCAGCTTCCTACATGACCTTCTGGTGCCCCCATCACTGCCTCCCACCTCTTTCCTCGTCATGGGAAAGGATTTGACATTGTGCTCACATAAAATATGTGGGTTATTATGGTAGTGCCTTAAGAGTACCTACATTTTAGTGATGCTAGCAAATCATAAACTCCAGAAAGTAATCCATAATTTTAGAAATTATCCACAATTAAATAGTAAATGAGGCTTTTAGGGCAAAAAGGGAGATTATTCTCAGCACCCCTGAAGTTATATGACTAAGAAGCTACTTAATCAGCCAATATAGAAAGTCAATCTTGCACGTGGGACATTTAACTTATTAGACCAGTTAAGCAATTTTGAAATTGCTCAACACAGTAAGAATCACTGGAGTTAGGCAGATTATGTCCTCTGTGTCCCCTTAGGGCGCCCCTACCCCACACAGCTTTACCACCCCACTCCCTGCTAGGTCCTGTTTCCAGAGGCACCGCACTAACATCACACCATACTCTTGTCACTTTCCACAATCGAAGTTTATCTATTCTCAATCCAGTTCTTATAAAACATTTCTAATATAATTAATTCACAATAAATTGTTAATGGTTGAAAAATGCTCAATATGGGTTCTCTTCCCCCAAATATTAAGGTGTTAGCAGGGGGCATCCAAGGAGAAAACAACTTAGCTCAAAGAATAAATCTCTCATGGGCTGGAAGTCCAACAGTGCAGAACTTGTGTCCTAGCCTGTTTTAGTTATAATACTTACTGACAACTGAATATTAACCATTCGGTGGGCACTGCCTGGGGAGAGGTGGTAACCAGTAAGGCAGGTTACTGAATTCTTTGTTAAGAGCAACTAAAATTCAAAATTCAACAAAGCCTTATAGTCAAAGCTCACCCTTGTGGTCCCACATGCAACTAAAATTAAATCACGGGTGTGGGAAGCATGGGCATGCACCAGGGACCCTGCAAGAGGGGGCAGGGAGAGCAGTAAAATCCTTTTGGTATTCAGCTTGGAAACTCTAATAGCCAATTGAAAAAGAAAACCAAGTCTATGTGTTTCTCTCTCCCATACCTGTAATGATTATGTTGCCTTTATAGTTGAAAGCACATGAAAAGATCTCATCCGTGTGCCCCTCGAGAATCTGGAGGCATTGACCAGTCTGAGCATCCCAGATTCTAGCTGTTTTGTCAGCGCTGCCAGTCAGAAGATGATTCCCTTGGGGGTTGAAAGAAATCTACAAGAGAGAAAGGAAAATGACAGGTTTGTGTGATTTGATTTCTGATACATTTTTAATCGGCAAAAGGGGGACATGACTAAGCACCTGTCATCTTCCTTGCTTGACATTTATTCTTACATAGAACAGTTCCTTCCTGGGGGGGGGGGGGGAATTGCAGGGACTAATACATGAAAATTAAAGTCTAGACAGAAAAGTATAACTGGCCACCCCACCCCCACCCCACAGTTCTAAGGATAAAGACCAAAGCTCCCTTCTAATTCGAGTATTCCCCACCTAGCTTCTTTCCAAAGACTCAAGATGCAAGTCTCTCCATACAAACAAAGAGACAGCCCTGGTGTGGATAAGAACACAAGTCAGGTTGCTTCACACCCAAGCCTCCATATTATCCCTATAACCCAACTTTCTGTAATCAGAAGCATATAGATCGTCCTTCAGTCTGTGCCACAGAACAAGTGAATGTTGGGGGAACTTTCGTTTTACTGCCACTCAAAGTAAAGCACATTGTATAAATATGTCCTGAGTGCCTCCTATGTGCCAAGCGGTATCTGAGCGACTGCCAAAGGAAGTGGTTAGTTCACTATTTCTTTGGGCGCCACGCTTATAACCCTCTCTAAGTCATCGTAAGACAACGATTTGGGTCACAACCTCTCTAACTGAAGGTTTGATGAGGACAAGGATCAAGAACATGGCTTTTTTTGTCCCTGTGTCCCCAGTACAATGCCTAGCACAAGGAAAGCTCTCAAAATGCATTTGCTGATCCATTTGTCTGTTAAAGGGCATCTCGGCTCTTTCCACAGTTTGGCTATTGTGAACATTGCCGCTATGAACATTGGGGTGCATACGGCCCTTTTTTCACTACATCTGTGTCTTTGGGGTAAATACCCAGTAGTGCAGTTGCTGGGTCATAGGGTAGCTCTATTTTTAATTTTTTGAGGCACCATCACACTGTTTTCCAAAGTGGCTGTACCAACTTGCATTCCCACCAACAGTGTAAGAGGTTTCCCCTTTCTCCACAACATCTCCAACATTTGTTGTTTCTTGCCTTGTCAATTTTTGCCATTCTAACTGGTGTAAGGTGGTATCTCAATGTGGTTTTGATTTGGATTTTCCTGGTGGCTAATGATGATGAACATTTTTTCATGTGTCTGTTAGCCATTTGTATGTCCTCTTTTGAGACGTGTCTGTTCATGTCTTCTGCCCATTTTTTGACTTGATGCCCTTCAACAGATGAATGGATAAAGAAGATGTGGTCCATGTATACAATGGAATATTACTCGCCATCAGAAAGGATGAATACCCAACTTTTACATTAACATGGATGGGACTGTAGGAGATTATGCTAAGTGAAATAAGTCAAGCAGAGAAAGTAAATTATCATATGGTTTCACTTATTTGTGGAACATAAGGAATAGTATGGAGGGCATTAAGAGAAGAAAGGGAAAAATGAAGGGGGGGAAATCGGAGAGGGAGACGAACCATGAGAGACTATGGACTCCGAGAAACAAACTGAAGGTTTTAGAGGGCAGAGGGGTGGGGGGATGGGTTAGCCTGGTGGTGGGTATTGAGGAGGGCACATTATGCATGGAGCACTGGGTGTTATGCACAAACAATGAATCATGGAACACTACATCAAAAACTAATGATGTACTGTATGATGACTAACATAACATAATAAAAAAAGGGAAAAAAAAGCATTTGCTGAATGAATGAATGAATACCTTAACTTTGTATACCATAGAAACGCCATTGCTGAATGGCAATTCAATAAGTAGTGTATTGCATAAACCTAAAATGCAATATAGAGTGTGAGAACTCTTTATATACACAAAAACATGTGTGCTTGTTGAGTGGGCCACATCATGCATATCAATGGTTATCAGACCAGTCACTCAGCAACATGGCCTGGGCTCTCTTCCTAAGCTGTCTCCCACATCCACACTTCCCTATCTCCCTTCCTGCCAGGCCCTAATGCCTCCTAGCCTATGGAAGAGATGTGTTCTGTGTGGCCTCAGAGACCAATCTTGAAGGGCAGGGGCTCCTGGCCACTGGCAGCAGGTGCAGAGGAGGGAGGGGGAGGGAGAGTACAACAGGAGGACGTTCCAGGGTCCAGGGGCAACATTCCAGGACCTGAAGCCATCAAACTGATCCTTTAAAAGGAAGGAGCAAATCTGATCTCAGGTATGAGATGAAGGAACTGGGCTGAGCTGGGTGGGAGCTGAGAGTCACCAAGTCCCGGCGTTTCCAGAGTTCTTGGAGGACACAGCTAAACCTCAGATCACTGATTGGAAGGCTCTGCTCTGTGAATCAGCTTGTGGGAGGAGCTTAGACAAAATCGTAAGCTACAGCCTTGAAGTTTCAAAGTAGGTCATTTTAAACTCTGTTAAGTGTTAAATATTTCCAGGAAATACTTTCTCAATTGCATCTAATTTATGAAACACTTGATACTTGCTGCACAGCATGTTTTTTGCATAAAATATACTTGTGTGTCTGCTAGGACTAGGAAAAGCACTTTGTAAGTTTCTTAAATAGCTTTAATAGGTATTTTCAGCGAACTCAATCTTTTGCTGATGGCTGAGAAAAAATGCTGTTTTATACTTTTTAAAAGGTTTTAGGAATCTTTTATTACGCTAAGTTTGAGGTCACACTTAAAAATATAGTTTTTAGGTAGCTGATTTCTAGAAAGAGTGAGATAATTGGACAAGCCCTAGTGCCAACAGACCTATTTAGACTAAGCATGCTATGTTTTTAAAACTAAATAAATTGCTCCAGATGAGAAAGCAACTCACCTTCGAAATTTCGCCTTCATGGCCTTCCAATTTGGTAATGCATTTTCTTGTGGCTGCACTGAAAACTCTTGCTGTTCCTTTTTGAAAGAGTGGAAACACATATGAATGCGTCCGAAATACAGAACTTTGAGCCATGTGCCCTGAATTATGGAATATCTATTCCTCTGTCATACAGGCTCTGTGCTGCTTGTCTTCTTGCCTGTGGTGAGAGCCACCACCTAAAACTGCAAATGTAAGCTGGCGCCACTGCAGGAGAAGAGGGGAAGCAGGATGCCCCTCTAGCCCCGAGCTTCTTAGAAGAAATGATGGGTTCCAAGGTAGAAAAGGTGGGGGGGGAGGAATCCACAAAGAAAAAGTTTGTAACGGGAAAAGGGAGAATCAAAACAAGTTTTGAGAGGCGGGCGATGAAATAAGCAGCCAGACCAGCATCACACACCAAATAGGAGTCTAAGGTTACAGAAGGTTTGAGAGGCCTTCCTGAAATGGAGCAACAGCCACTACTCGCTGGGCAAAGAACAGGCACCAGGGAAGCCTTTCTACAGAAAGAGCTGGTAGAATGGTTTGTTCCCTGTTGTATCCCCAGGGCCCAGAAGTGCCAAGCTCCCAGTAGACACTCAATAAGTGGATGCTGGATGGATGGATGGATGGATGGATGGATGGATGGATGGATGGATGGATGGAGTGGATGGGTGGATGGATGAATGGATGGGTTGTTGGGTGGATGGATGGATGGATGGGTGGGTGGGTGGGTGGATGGATGGATGGATGGATGGATGGATGGAAGGAAAGGTGGATGGATGGGTGGGTGGAAGGAAGGAAGAAATGGTATAGACATTTCCTTAGAATTAAGGAATGGAGGAGTTAAATAAATGTAGAAGGAGAAAAACAGCAGTAGTAAAATTGTTGTCAGAGAAAAAGTTAACATTTTTCTGGCCGGATGAAGGCTGCTCTCTTATTGCAATTACAAAATTACATAGAGGCAAAATTGGTAACGATAAGAGAATTTTGGTTACTTAATTTTCATTCAGAGAAGAGCAAAACATCTTAGTAAATTTTTTACTTGCCCTTCTGACAATGTCAACTTTAGGAAGAAATAGATGAAAATTGCTATTTTACAATTAATATGACTAAAAATATAAACCTTGCTAGTCGGACATTTCAAAAGCCTTAAAGTGACCAATGTGTTTTAAGATTGTGTTAATAGGGCGCCTGGGTAGCTCAGTAAGTTAAACGTCTGCCTTTGGCTCAAGTCATGATCCCAGGGTCCTAGGATCGAGCCCCACATCAGGCTCCCTGCTCTGTGGGGGTCTGCTTTTCCCTCTTCCTCTGCCCCTCCCCCCTGCTTATGCTCTCTCTCTCTCTCTCAAATAAATAAATAAAATCTTTTTTTTTAAAGAATGTGTTAATATTGGGGTGCCTGGGTGGCTCAGTCAGTTGAGTGTCCAACTCTTGGTTTCGGCTCAGGGTCGTGAGATCAAGCCCCATATTGGGCTCTGTGCTCAGCAGGAAGTCTGGTTGGGATTCTCTCCCTCTGCCCCTCCCACCTTCACTTGCTCTCTTTCTCTCTCTCTCAAAAAAAATAAATGAATCTTTAAAAAAAAGAATGTGTTAATAGAACAAAAATGAATATCCTGCCTACAGTAATTCTCTAAATTTCTCAAAAGCATTTTTAAGCTTCAGAAAACACAGAAATAATATCGCCTAAAACTATATTTTTAAAAGATAGAAATATGAATAAGACACCAAAAAATAATGCAGCCTTGAGAGTGATTCAAATGAGGAAGTAAAAGGTGATAAATGGGAAGAAACAGATGTCATTTCACAGCTTCAACTAACCCCTGTTGAATGCATCCAGTTTTAAGTAGGGAATGAGAAGCAAGAAGCAGAGTTAAGTAAACAAGATGTCTCCAAACATCAAGACTTCTTAGAAGATGCAGAGTGAGAAGAGGTTTACAAAACATACAAAAGGAAAAAAAAAAGTTTTTTTGAAGTAATGTCTTTTTTTTTTTAAGATTTTATTTATATATTTGAGAGAGCGAGAATGAGAGAGAGAGAGAGTACATGACGGGGGGAGGGTTAGAGGGAGAAGCAGGCTCCTCGCTGAGCAGGGATCCCAATGCGGGACTTGATCCAGGGACTCCAGGATCATGACCTGAGCTGAAGGCAGTCGCTTAACCAACTGAGCCACCCAGGCGCCCCTGAAGTAATGTCTTATTGATCAAGGAAAGAATGGAATCACTGCTAGGGGACATATAAGATGATAGAGAAAACAAAAGAATTATTGAACTTGCAGTTAATTCTCATCCATCTCTCAGCATCCTGATCCCCAGACCCTGCTTGTTTCTCCACCCATAGTGCTGACAAACTCCTAACATTCTTTATAATCTAACATCCTCTATATTCTAACATTCTATGGAAAACACATATATGTTATTCTTCATTGTCTCCCCCTCCAAAATATAGCTCCACGAGGGAAGGAATTCCTCTCTCTTTTGTTCATTGATATATCCCATGTTCCTAAAACAAATCCTGGCACAAAGTAGCTTCCCTATTCTTGTTGAATGGATTTTTTTTTTTATATAAGTGAGAATGATATTTAAAATAAAAAGGGTAGATTAATTACCATTGAGGGATGATTTTAAAAAGCTAAGCTCTGTAAGAAGATGAAAAAGAACATAGTTACTTTGAAAGATAGAGTTCTCCAAATTCAGGGTGTTTATATTCCAGGATATAGAAAGAACTTTATGTATGATCAAAGAAGCACCTTTGAAAAGTCCTAGTGAGTAAGGGAACAGCATGCAAATGTAATTTTGAAAAGGAAGACAAAGGTGGAATAAAGACTGTTATTAAAATGAATCACAGGCAAAATTCTACAACTGATTATAACACAAAGGATATGTGACTACTTAACAGTATGTTAGTCACAAGGAACAAATCAAAGAACAAGTCATGTCTGAAAAAAGCATCCCATTTTTGCTAGAATTTCTTAAATGGCTGTTAAGTTTACATGGACATGATGTAGCGTCACATAGGGTCGGTCACTAAAGGAATTAGACATAATGAAACATCATGTGTGATTATCAAAGAGATGACTTAGACACAGTGTAGGCTTAAGTGTGCTGACATGGTGATGACATAATCATAGTACAGCATGATATGCATTCATGGGGAGGTGACACAGATATAATATAGTGTCACAGGTGGTCATCACGGAGATGATGTAGACATAGTGGAGCATGGTGTGTGGTTGTCAAGGAGATGAAAACACACAGTGTAGCATCATACATGACATCAAACAGATAACGGAGATGTTGTGTAGAATCATCTGTGGACTACAGGAAGACGGCACATACCCAGTGTAGCAACATAATGGATCATCAACCGATGACACAGATATATTGTAGCACCATATAAGGCCATCATGGATATGACACATACTATATCATCACACATCGTCATCTGGGAGATGATGCAAAATAGTGTAGCACTCCACATGGTTATCAAGGAGATGACCTAAACATAGTATAGCATATACAGCATATATCCCTAAGAGGTTGTCAAAGACATGACTAATGGTACAGCATGATGTATTTATCGAAACATTCAGTAGTAATGACATACCATGACGCACACTTAAATTTGATACAGAGTGTGGCATCATATGTATTTGTCAAGGATATGATACAGACATCATGAAGCATCATTCACTGTCATCAGGGAGCTTATCCATAGTACCGCGTCATCCATGGCTATCAGGACAGTGGGAAGTCGCAATGTAGCATCATATAGAGCAGGTTAAAAGATGATACATAATGTAGCATGATATGTGGTTGTCAGAAAGATGATCTATAGCATAGACTCACATATGATTACCAAAGACATGATGCAGACATGTCATATCCTGGGATTTGCAAGGAGAGAAGCCTTTAGGCAGAAAATGCAAACATCTCTATGTCAGACATGGTGTTATGCACCAAACCGTGTCCCCCACAAAACTCCTATGTTGAATTCCTAACCCCGAGTACCTTAGAAGTTGACTTACTTGGAGTTTGAGCCTTTAAAGAAGAAATAGATTAACATGAGGTCATTAGAGTGGGCCTTAACCCAAAATAGCTGGTGCCCTTATAAGAAGAAGACATGAGGATACAGACACATGCAGAGGGAAGACCACATGAAGACACAGGGAGAAAACTGTCAGCTGCCGGCCTCAGAAGAAACCAAGGCTGCCAACACATTGATCTCAAACTTATAACCTCCAGAATTGTGAGAAAAGAAATTCCTGTTGTTTAAGCTACTCAGTCTGTCGTATTCTGCTATGGCAGCCCTGACAAACGAATACAGTTATACAAGAGATGATGCAGTCACACGATAGCATTACATGAGCTTACCACAGACATACTGTAGCATCATACATGGTGGACCAGATGGCACAGATACTCACAGCATCATACATGATTGTCAGGGGACTACCCATAATAGAGCATCATACAGGATTATTAGAAAAATACGCAAACATAGCATATAGCTTCATCCGTTGTCAGAGACACGATGAGACATAGTATAACTTCATAGATGGTTGTCAAGGAGATGACCCAGAAATAGTGTAGCATCACTTTGGTTGTCAGGCGAATGATGCAAATGTAGCATGGTGACATACATTATCAGGGAGATGACACATAGTGTAGTGTCATACATGGACATCAGGGTGATGACACAGACATAATCTGCGTCATATGTGGATATAATGGACTTGACACAGACATATTGTAATGCCATAGGTGCTTATCAGGAATATGAGACATATAGATTTCAGCATAAAAATAAGAAAATAACACAGAAATAATGTATCATCATACTGTTTTCCAAATGGCACAGACACGGTGCAGTGATTATCATGGACGTGATACAGAAATCATCTAGTCCATCCTATCGCATCTTACAGGGTTGTTTAAAGGGAGGAGATAGTAGTAGTAGAGCATCACACACACTTTTGTCTTGGAGGTTTCACATAACAGCATAGTTTTCTAGGATATGATGCATATATTATGTAGCCTCATATGTGGTAATTGAGGAAACTCTCATAGTAGAGCATCACACATGATTTTCAAGAAGAGGATCTAGATGTCGTTGTGAAGAACATGATACAGACATAGTATAACACCATACATGTTTTTAAGGAGATAACACAGAAATAGCATAGCATCTTAATGATTGTCAGGGAGATGATGTGGTTATCAGAATATGATATAAGGTATAGCATCATGAACGGTTGCCAGAGAGAGGAGGCAATCAGAGCATAGCATCATCAATGGAGGTCAGTGAAGTGACACACTGTAACATCACATAACCTCATTAATTGTGGGCACAGAGAGCATAACATAGGAGCCTACCATGGAGATAACACACATGATAACCTCACACATAGCACTCAAGGAGATGACATTAAAGGATAGTGTGATAAGCAGACTTCAAAGATATAGTCTTATATCTTAACGTGGAATCATGAAGTTTTGTAAATGAAGGGATCCAGACATAGAAGACCTTGAAGACGTGTTTGTCAAGGTGATGAGGTAGAAATATTACAGCATCACACATAAATTTCTAGGAAATGGTGAAGGTATGGTAGAGTATCATACATGGTTATAAAGGATTAGATGAAAATATAGTGTAGCATCATACATGATTTTAAGGAGAATGACAAGGACTGTAAATTAAAACATAGCAGTCAGGTATATGATATAGACACAACGTAGCATCATACATGGTCATTAAAGGGATAACATAGACTTAGCACAGCTCCATACATGATCATTAGGTGGATGACACAGGGGTGGTGTAGAATTATCTGCAGTCTTCAGGAAGAGGACATGCAGTGTAGTGTAGCATCATACTTTATTATCAAGGTGATGACTCATAGAACAGCACCACACATGGTTGGGTGATGGCATGAGATGACATACTTCGTATAACATTACATATGCGTGCCAAGGAGATGGTGTAGATGGAGCATCCCATGTGGTTGTCAAGGAGATGATGCAGACACAGTATCACATGTGGTGGTCATGGATATGATATAATGACGGGGGGGCCAGTGAATGAGGCAGAAGTTGTGTAGCCTCTTACATGCTTGTCAGGAATACATAGTTATCATGAGGATGACCTGTTGTTTACTATCATAAATTATCATCCAGGACATAGTGTATATGTAGTATACCACTACAGATGGTTGTCAATGAGATGATACAGACATCACATAGCATTATATGGGGTTTTCAGTGAAATATCACAGATACAGTGTAGCATCACATATATTTGTCATCAAGATGAGTTCTAGTATCATGGCACACATGGTTATCAAGGAGATGATGCTGACATAGTACACATCATATGCAACAATCAAGGAGATGATATAGGTAGAGTGTAATATCATACATGGTTTTTAAGAAAATTCGAGTATGGTGTATTATCATGAATGGTCATCAGGATGATGATGATACATAATGCAGTATCTTGCTTGGTGACCCAGAGATGGAGTAGATATAGCATGTAACATGTGTCCTGGAGGGATGAGGTGGGCATAACAGAATAGCACACATGGCCAACAGGGAAATGACATAGATGCCTTGTAGCATCATCTGTGGTCTTCAATGAACTGAGGCACGCGTAGTGTACTACCAGCCCACAGTTACCAGTAAGATGCTGCAGACCCAGGGTAGAATCCTAAGTGGTAAGCAAGAACATGATGTACAGCATAGCATCACATATGTTCATCACAAAGATGTGTTACATGCAGCACACATGGTATAAAGGAGATAATGCAGATTTATTATAGCTCCATGGATGGTGGTCAGGTTGATGAGGTTGATGTGGTATAGCATAATGCATGATTAGGGCGATGACCCAGAATATACCATTATATGTAGTCACCCAGGGGATGTGAAGATGCGAAGGCCCAGTATAACATCAGATGTGGTTGTCAAGGAGATGACGCAGACATTATAACCTGTGGTTACCAAGGATGTGATACTGACAGAGAGTAATGACCAACATCACAGAGATGAGGCAGATGTAGTTTCTCTCACAGCTGGTCATCAGGTAGATGACCTACAGTGTAGAATTATACATGTTTATCAAACAACTTAAATATATGAACAGATGACCTACCATCGGCTGAAGCAGTTGCAATAAGTTTTCCAGTGTAATCAAAACAGCTGTCTAGTATTTCGTCATCGTGGCCTGTTAGCGTTGCCACACATTTTCCATTTGTGGCATCCCACAGCTACAACAGAAAAAGAAGGTGACTATGACTTCCTGTCTGAAGTGCCAAAATCGGAAGAAGTAGGCCTTATGACATACTTATGGCTAGCTGAATAACTGTGCCAAGATCATGTGTACAATTTTCACATGCTCCATTAAGTTTACATGGATTCATGACAAGAGACCACAGTCAACCGTCTCACAAGGCACACTTTCGACAAAGAGAAGACCAGAGACAGACATTTAGAATGGATAGTGCAAATCTGCCACTATATTAGGCAAGATCTCAAAGTGCACGCTTCACTGATTGGAGTGAAAATGTCCTCTTTTCATAAAAAGGTCATCGAATGATAAGGAGCTTGATCTGAAACTATAATGCTAGAGAATGAAAAGTGCATTAAGGTTGTAATACATCGGGTATGTAATCAGATATAAATTCCAGAGCCTAAGCTCTTAGCAACAGAAATTTAAAGGCAGGGAAATATTGTATTGAGCCTCCTTGAGATTCACTCTAATCAAAGTTTAACAAATGAACAGAGAGACATTAAAGAAAAATAACATGTCTTTTAAAATAAGATGTTGTGGGCGCCTGGGTGGCTCAGTTGGTTAAGCGACTGCCTTCGGCTCAGGTCATGATCCTGGAGTCCCGGGATCGAGTTCCACATCAGGCTCCCTGCTCAGCAGGGAGTCTGCTTCTCCCTCTGACCCTCCTTCCTCTCATGCTCTCTGTCTCTCATTGTCTCTCTCACAAATAATAAAATCTTAAAAAAAATAAAAAAATAAAATAAAATAAAATAAAAATAAAAAATAAAATAAGATGTTGTAATACATTTGATTCAATTAACATGGTTTCACTCTATCATAATTCTTTTAAACCTGGGGGATCAAAAACTTAACATTTAAAAATACCAATTATTTATAAATTAACATCCTAATTTTACAGCCCCTTTGAGATGAGGTAATGTTGCAAAGACTGTCCAACACAGTAAAAAGTGCACACAGGAGAACTGTAAAGCAAAGATATTTCTTGAGCTCACCATGCAGGTTTTGTCCATAGAGCCAGTTAATATCAGAGAGCAATCCCAGTTGAATAGAGCACTGCTAATTTCAGCACAATGCCCGATTAAGGTATACACCTTCCTACAAAATGGAAAGGATTCACACTGGTGAAAGACGCCTTGTTTCAGCATATGTGCACAAATAATTATGTCAAGCCCGTGGGTGTGAGAGTCAAAATTTTGTTTTTTACAACATAATATCTTTGATGACAAAGCAATGATAGTTGTAGTATAACTCAAAAACAGTCAACTAGACTACTAATTTCATTTCGGCAAAAATATACTTACATTTAAGAAGCACTCAAAAATAAAAACATTACTTAAGACTTCAGAAAGCCATGGGTAAAAAATAATACAGTTGGTCTGACATTCTGGAAGTATTCTTATACCAGACCAGTGGACCCCTTGGTAGTTCAGAAACTACCCATCAAGTGTCTGAAGGGCCCTTCCTTCTCCCTCATTTCTTGGTGTATCCATCTTGTAGTAACTCCTGGTACTTAGCCCCTCTATCAAGATGCAGGCAAGTCCAAGGTAGAGCTTTCCAACGCAAATAGTCTAATTTAGTTAACTTCTTAGCAACTAGAACCCAAAATAATTAGGAAGGAAATTGAAGTTGTTGGACTAAATTTAATTTGGAAAATTAGCCATAATTTTATTTACTCATGATATCCATGCCTGCCATAATGACAAGCCATTGAAATTTGATTACACAGTACATGGAACAAATAATAGCCATACACCCAGGCTATTGTTAACATTCTCCTTTTATGTTTCTGTGTGGCTCAGAATTCCAAGATAACACACATTTTTTTCTGGATCAGAAATATCATTAAATAATGAATTAATTTATTTTCGGTGCATCCTATTCCTATAGAGTCCAAAGCACAGTTAGTAGATACGAGATTGAACTAGTGAACAGCAAAGACAGTCTTCTTAACCCTCTGATCCAAATTAAAAAATCCTTAAAGACGGAAAATACCTTCCGGTATCAGCTTCCCACACTGCAACGGTATGATCAAAAGATCCCGTGATGATTCTGTTTCCCAAGGTGTTAAAGGACAAAGAGATGATTTCAGCTGAATGTCCCTAGAAAGAGAGTGGATATCATCATGCATTACCTGCATAAAAACAATCTCTACAAATGCACAGTGTCACAGTTTAAAAGAAAATGCGAGAAAAGGAAAAACTCTATAGGGAAAAAAGAGATTAGTAGTTGGCTGGGGGTGGTAATAGGGAGAGACTGCAAGTGGGCACAGGTATCTTTTTGGGGAAATTTTGAATACTAGAGTTTGGTGAAGGTTGCACAATTTCATAAATTTACTAAAAGTTGAATTATACACTAAATCAAGTCCATTTAACTTAGTAAAACTAAATAAAACTGGGTTTTGTTTGTTTGTTTCAGTGGATAGGAAGAGGACATGATTTCGGAAATCAGAGGGCTTCTTTCACATTGTCTTGAAAATAATTTTAAAAAGGCTGTATGCAAAAAAGAAAAAAAAAAAAAAAAAGGCTGGCGCACCTGAGTGGTTCAGTCTGTTAAGGTTAAGTGTCTGACTCTTGGTCTTGGCTTAGGTTATAATCTCAGGGTTCTGAGATCCAGCCCTGCAGAGGGGGTCCCCGCTCAGCAGGGAGTCAGCTTGTCTCTCTCTCTCTCTGCCCCTCCTCTTCTTGTCCTCTCTTTGTCTGTCTCTCTCTCTAAAATAAATAAATAAGTCTTTTATTTAAAAAAAAAAAAAAGGCTGTAGGCTTTATGGGTTAACAATAGGTGATAGGCAAGTTTGTGAAATAAAGTTAACTTTAAAAAAGGATATTCTTATGATAATTTTTTTTAAAGATTTTATTTATTTGAGAGAGAGAGAGCACAAGAGCTGGGTGGGGAGGGGCAGAGAGAGAGGGAGAAGCAGGCTCCCCGCTGTGCAGGAAGACCAACACACAGGACTCCATCCCAGGACCCTGAGATCATAACCTGAGCCAAAAGCACCCCCTAACCAACCAAGCCACCCAGGCGCCCCTCTTACAATGATTTAACATTAAATAGGTTAAGAAATATCTGGCCTTTGGTCTGACTTTCACTTGGTCCCTATCTAGGGCCGATGCATCAAACATTCTGAGGCAATGGGAGGAAGCCCCTCTCTGCAGCGGACTCTGCTTGCAGTATATCCCTTGTTTCCCAAATTATTTTGGCAAATTAACATTACTTTTTTCAATAGTGAAAGTGTTCATTTGCACATCAAATTTCTGGTTGATTCTAAATGGCAAACATTAAATGTAGCTGAACATGAAAATTCCAAACACGCAAGACAAATGTGTCGTCTGGCGACAGACAGGTGTATCTGTGCCGAGGGAGAGACATCCTTTCCAAGAGCATTAGGCATCTGTCTAAAAGACGAGGTAGTGAAGAGGCAGTGACCCACAGAAATGATGAGAACAAAGATCAAAAGAGTATACTTATATTAATAAAGGTTGGCACTCTGAATTCAGAAAATCCCTTGGTGTTTGTTAAAAAGAGTGCTTTTTCTCTCTTTCTAGTCCTTTTTTTTTTTTTACTGTCTTAGGAAAAGCTCTCCTAGGAAAGGGGTCCTAATTTGAAATCCATTTATAATTTGAAAGGACAAAAAAAAAAAAATTGGATTTCCCACCCAGCTGTTCCCACTGATTGGCCCAGAGAATCCCCCTATGTGTGTCCAGTTGTTTGGGCTGGGGTGGGAAGAAGCAGAAAGAGCAGGTGGGAGGAAGGTGCTGGGCGCGTGGTAGGGACAGACAGAGACCCCCATGGAGATATACCACCAACTCTTGCTCTCTGGGCAGTGCCCTTTAGCCTTTTTCCTCCTGCCACTTATCCCAGGAGGCTTCTGAGACCGGTGGGTAGTGGAGGAGAGTGTTAACGGTTATCGTTTTAAGGAATCTTCTGGCAAGTTTCTCCAATTCTGCCTCTTCCAGAAAGTGCTAGCCTCCGCCTACTTGGCTTTAAGCCAGATGGATGGCACTAGGATTTAAGCTGTCCGTGGTATGGCTTACAGAAGGAAGCTAGTCAAAATAAAAAAGCCCATGTGGCCTCCTCAGCTCCCCCATCAAAGTCTTTAGGAATAGCCAGCAAACCAACTGGGACAACTCTTTTCACTGCAGTCTGAAAACCAATAGCTCAAAAATATCTTCTGACGTAGAACTCATTTTGTAATAAGAATATGAATAAAAACAAACTCAAATAATAGGCTTATGCTAAGCAATGGCTAGGGAAAATGCAAAACCCTCGAAGCTGGTGACATTATGCACATACTGTTAAAGTGAACACTTCCTCTCCATTCTGAATGTCCCACAGTTTGGCTGTTGTGTCCATGCTCCCAGTAGCCACCAATGTGCTTTGAGGATTGAATGATAAACACACCTGAATTGCAGGAAAGAGAAGAAATTTTAGAAAGATAAGAGTTTTGAATTGTTAATTTTGTATAGAAAAGCTTCAAGATGCAACCACCTTAGGTTCAGCCTAATTCTCTGCAGTGAGATACCAGGGTGGCATTTGGGTGGCCTGCTTTCTGCAGGTTGAATCCTGAAGCAAGAGGCTGCTTTGATCTAGACCACAGAAGAGCAAGAATAAAAGCAAACCCATCTCCTTTGAGATTCATGCTCTCTGGCTCCCATCTTCCTTGTTGTTAACCTCACAGTCCTTTCCATCCTGCTCCATCACCTGCCCAGGACTTTGGCTATTGGCTCACGGTCTCAATTCCATGTCCTAGCTGGCCTTCGTGTGAGCTGTCAATCCAGTAGCCCAGACCCATGACCCTAGACAACCTTTCATAATCACTTCTGTGGCCACACCCTGGACCTCAACGTCACATTTTCTAGAAAATTCACTACCCATACATCCATCTCTTGGTACAATTTCCCAATGCTTCCACTTTCATCCTTGCCAAGCCACCCCCAGGATATCTTCCATCTCACTGAGACCCCTGCCTTTTCCTGGCACCCCATCCTCATTCAACTGACACCCTGGAAGCATCATTCCTGCCAGCCTCCTCAATACCTTACTCCTTGTCTTTTCCCAGCACCATCCATAAGACTCCTAATAACTGTATCAAGCTGGCATTTCACGCACTCATTGGCCCTCCCTCACCACTCAGCTTAAGAAAACCACCTAGCAGATTACAGGTGTCGCTCATTCGGGCCTTCTGTCCTCAGCTGTGTCCTCAGCACCATTCTCTCCCTACTTGAACGTGCCTCTGGCCCTGTACATTCTCCCTTTCCCCACTCTTGCCCCCAGTCTGTCCTCATCCCTACCCCACAGATAACCTGGCCTCCTACTACTTCCCGGAGAAAACACCTATGGGGGGGACCTTGTTCACCTGGCCCTCACTTCCTTTCCCTTCAGTGTCAGGTGCAGAGGGATCCCTTTGCCCTCCTGAGACACCCTCCTCCCTGCACTCCTAGAGGAGACGTGCCCACTAATTTTTCCCTCCGTCTAGACTGGATGCCTCCTAGTGGCCTATAAATAGGCTTGAGCTCTTCCTACATAAAAATAAATCCTCCCTTGACTCTATGTACTCTTTTTTAGCTACCTTTTTTTCCTTTCACAACCAAATTCCTTGGAAAAATAGTGTGCCATCATCACTGCTTGCCCATGTTTGCCCATCCCCCACTACTTCAACTGCTGGAACCACTCTGGTTAAATAATCCAAAGGCTCTCTTGGTCACTCCATTTAACCTCCCTGATGCCTGCAGTGTTGACTCCTTTGTTCTCCATATTTTCTTCCTTTTTTTTTTTTTTTAAAGATTTTTTAATTTTTTTGACAGAGAGAGAGTGCGAATTTGAGTAGGGGGGAGAGGCAGAGGGAGAAACAGGTTCCCCATGGAGCAGGGAGCCCGACGTGGGGCTCCATCCCAGGACCCTGGAATCATGACCTGAGCCGAAGGCAGACGCCTAATGACTGAGCTACCCAGGCACCCTATTCTCTTCCTTCTTGATAACTTTGACAGTGCTCTGCTTTTTTTCTTTTACCTCCTATCTCTTGTTTGTATCTTTTGGAGAATTCTTCTCTTCTCCAGCTGCTCAAGATGCCATCACACTTCTCCCCATACTGACCCTTTTCCTTTCAGAAATTGCAATTCTCAGTGGTTCCCACGGCCACCCCGATGCCCGTGACTCAGGCACCCACGTCTCCTTCCCCGACCTTGTGCTTGGTTCAGCCCCAAAGGGCCTCTGTGTGGACATCACACAGGCAGCTTGGATCAATCTAAGACATGCAAGTCATATGACCACAAACCGGCTCATCTTTTTATATAAAGAACTGGTGAATGGCCCTGCCATTGTCTGAAGTCAGGGAATCACCCTGGGGCCCCTTTTCTCCTTCACACCTCACAGCTGCCTGGTAACCCCATCCTACTCCTCCACTCCAGCCTCTCTCGCATTCTCTTCACCTGCCTCACGACAGTCCTCTGTCATCTTTGCTTGGACTGCAACAAGATGGCCAGCTGGCCCCTACTTCTGATCTTACATCACGCTGCCACAAGAAGGATCTCCCCAAAGAGTAAAAATGACCATGCTACCTCCCACCTAAAAAGTCTCAACAGCACGGTGTTATCCACAGGATAAAGTCCAAACTCCTTAGCACAGCATATGAATCAATACTGTGGCCTTGCCAGCCTTCCCCACTTCGATCATGCTCACCACGTGATATGGCTTTGAATGGGGTGCAGGGGCACAAGACATGGTGCCTTTAACCCAGGCAGCGGGACAGCACCAGGGATCCTTAGCCAGCACCTCTGACCATGGGCAGCAGGCAGCCCCCCGCCGCAAGTGTGTTGCCCAGCCCTTTTGACCTACTCTGTGCATGTCATCATGGGGGAATGTTGGCAAGTGCTGCTTTGGCCCATGGAGTCATCTGAGTCTGAAAGCACCCACCCCGGTTGCACACCTCCTCTGGGCATTGACCAGTGCAGCTCTCACTGCCGGGAGAATGTGCTATCTACCTGCACAGTCTTTCCTTAACACCCCCCTCCTTTGGAGGGTGACCACACTAAACCCCCCACCAACTCCTAGCACCCTACAACCCATCTCTGAACTTATTTACTGATGCCTCTACTCCCTCCACTGAACTACAAAATCCCTGCAGGACAAGAACCATGTGTGATTCTATCTGGTATGCCAAGCACACAGTCCAGCGCTCGACACATAGTCAATATTTAGTAAATACCTATTGGATTGATGTTGTTGACATCAAAGTCTTCCTCGGAACTACATATAAAGAAAACTTTTACAAAATTCCAAGGGAGTGTGAGAATGAGGATTATGTCTTTCTTACAACTTTGGACAAGTAACTTACTCTCTCTATACCCTGGCATCTTCAACTGTAAAATGGGGCAATATCTAGCTCCCAGGGTTGTGATGAGGTGCAACTAAGCTAATATATGTAAAGGGCTTATATATTAGCACAAAGCTGTCTTTTGTGCATATTGAATGCCATTTAATGGGTCAGTTATAATTTTGCAGTGCAGTATCCCCCAGTGGCTAGCAAAATATTAAACATAGCATGAGCCCTTATTGGATAAATACACCATGAATCCAAAAGATAAATATAAATAAATTTTACTCCTAAAATAAGCAGGCTGGTTATTTTTAAAAGCTATCATTTGTCCCATAGGGAGACAATTATCTCACTAATTGTTATAAGATGTAACACAGAATTGGCCAAGGGCAAGGTCTTCCCAATAGCAAAAGCTATTTAGAGTATCAAACTATTTATGCAAATTTGAGTTCTAATGATATCCAGAAAACAACCAGCCTAAATATTTCACATGATATAAAAAAGTTACTTTAAAAGCTATTCTAAGAACCTTATTCTTAGAATAAAGGATTCATCATCAGTCCTTTAAAAGCAAGTCACTGAAAAAGAAAAGGTGAGGTTGGATATTGTACTCAAATGTTTATCCTATTACATATCTTCTTAGTCAATGTAGGATATGGGTCTTTGACAATAACTGCAAGATATAAAAGCTCAAATAGTTTATATATTACATTAATACCTCCATGTAAAATATATACAAACTAAAAATACTGGATATAATTGTAAAATTGATCATAAAGGTAGAACCACTATTTGTATAATGGACTACTAAAAAGAAATAACAATGATGTATTGATGTAGGTCCATCAATTATAACAAATGTACAGGTTTGGTGGGGGATGTTGATAATGGGACATGTATGGGGCAGGGCAGGGAGTATTTGGGAAATCACTATACCTTCCACTAAGTTTTGCTGTGAATCTAAAACTGCTCTAAAAAATAAAATCTATTAAAAAGAGAGAGAAAGAGAAAAGGAAGGAAGGAAGGAAAGGAAAGGAAAGGAAAGGAAAGGAAAGGAAAGGAAAGGAAAGGAAAGGAAAGGAAAGGAAAGAAAGAGAGTAACATAAAAATATAATAAAATAAATATACTCACTATTTCTGCTGTATGACCTCTAAAGGTATGGTAACATTTTCCCGTTTCTGCACTCCATAGTTTACAAGTCTTATCAAAGGACCCAGTGGCAATTTTGTCACTAAGATTTAAAAAAAAAAAATGTGGATTTTGAAAACAAATTCAAGCACAGTATATGATACACTGATTAAGACAAGAGATATTAATACATGGGTCTATCTACTCAGGAATTTACTTTGTTTTTAAAACAATAAGCAATCTGACATTTGTTTCAGTGGACAACAAAATTAAGGTCTAATTTTTCAATAGTATCAGTTTAAATGTTTAATTTTAAATATTTTACATTAAAGGTAAAATTTATGTTTGGGATTACAATAAGTTTTTAAATTAGCACAGTGAATATGGTACACAATTCAGTTTAGAAAATTCTTATCAAATGGAAATGAATAATGTGTGAGCTGCAAGGACACAGAAAAATTCTATTAGTAGGGCTAGGATAATGTTGAATTGAAAAGAAGAATGAAAAGATATAAATCCTATTAACCATATGGCTAGATAAGGTTTTGAGAACTTAGTGTCTCCTTGGGAAAATAATGCCAATATTACTCTAAAGCTAAGGTCCTTGAACAAGAGGGAGTGTCTAGAGAGGAAATACGGTAAAGACTAGTCCCTTTCAAACAAGAGGCTTCCAGTGTATACCGTAGAGCAGAGTTACAGTCAACATCCAACAGATTAGAGTAGGTTGGCCTGTTTAACCTTTGACCATGGAACTAAATCTTTTCCTTTACCGTTGACCCCTGTCTTTTACAGCAAGTCATCAAAGTGTTCACTAAACTGGGTCATCAATTACAGTGCAAGTTCATTGTTCAAAAGTGTGAAAGGTCTTAAGACCCCAAATACATATCATAAAGCAAATTCTATATGCTTGGTACAGTTGCAGAATTGATAATTTGTCCAAAATAACCCTGATGCCCTGTATCTCTCCTTTCTTCTCAGGCCACCCACATAGTGTTTCTGTGGTCTCTGATACTAAAGGGAGTGAGGTCCTTTCTGTCCATGCTCCGGGGACAGTTTGTTTTGGAGAATACCCACCCAACCCACCTAGAGCTTCCTAACACTCAAGACTGGTTATCAACCCAAAGTCTGCACTGGCTCTCTCTCCATCCAGTCTAGGCATTCCTCATCAGCTGCTGATGTCCACCAACTTCTGCCCAGACATGCTGAGAGCCCTGTGTGCTCTTTATTTACTCCTTCCCTCCATCTCCCAACCCTCTTGCCTCTCAAACATATTGTCTCAGGTTCCTGCTGTTTCTCGATTAATTCCTGTTTGATCACACACTGCTGTCTATATCCATATGCCACTACATGATAAAAGATATTACTGATTACATCTTTTTTTAGAATTACTTTATTGAATCAAAGCTTACTCCTGACCTAATGTATAGAACACACAAACACTAAACTGGCTGAAGTTCATCTCTCTCTCTCTCCCTCTCCTCTCTCTCTCTTATTTCTCTCTCTCTCTCACACACACACACACACACACACACACACACACACACACATTCCCTCTCATTCTTTGGTGGCTATCTTGAACTCATTCTGCTGAAACCCCAATGCCCCAAAATGCCATGGAAAAATGCTGCTTTAATCCATACATAAGTCATCAGACTATGTAATTGGACAAGCAAGTTTTTCATCAGGGGGTCTTGGTAGAATCCAATAAAAGGGCCAAAAGGTGAAGCATTTTTTACCTCTTTATCCCCCAAAAAACTATGTTCTCAGATAGGCATGCAAAAATATCATATCTTTTAAGTGGACTTTATAGGATATGGTATTATATTATAAAGAATATACTTTTAAAGTCCTTTAAATAACATTGCAATTAAAGTAGAAATTATACTAGAAGTAAAACATTATAATTTATAATGTCAATAAAATCTTTCTCTCCCACAGGTTGGTGCGATAAGGTATTATAAAAATTATCATTGTCTACAATGTAAAACTGCATATATCACAGTTAAATTTTTGGTAATGCAATTGGAATATTTAATCATTTTAATTTACCAATTAAGTTTGACTGTGCCATCACAATTACTGTGTTTTAAAAGTGTGTTACATTTTAAAGTGATATAATGACATTAGCAACCCACATATCAAGTTTTTAATATTTATGGTATAAAATTTCAACTCTTAAGTGCATCAAATTTTTATAAAATTCCCTTTATTGCTCCTACCACTATCCTACACTGCTTTCATCTTCTCCTGAATCTGTCACTTTATCTGCCTCCAACTAATCTCCTTGCCTCCTGTTTCATCCCACTCCAAACCCTCTGGTCCCTTGTCTCTGCCAGAACAGCCCTCCTGAAACAGCACTTTCACTGAGACCCTCTTTTGTTCACAAAGCTTTCATCCACAACTCGGTCCTCCAGAACAGAGTTCGAACTACACAGAATGTTCTGATCTTGCCCTCTTTTGTTTCTCACCAGGAAATGTCCACTAGGGAGCTGGGGGTGCTGGGTGAGCCAGATGAAGTCCCACCTAACCTCCAGAGCTACAGGGTGCCCTCACCTAGGATGTCCTCCCCTTCCATTTGTTTCATTTGTTGAGGAAGATGTCTTCCATCTTCCACGCTTCTGCTTGAACCCCATATCATCCTCAAAGTCTCTACCAGGAGAAATCACATGGATCTTTCTCCTTGCAGCAAACCATTGCTGTTTTGTTCTAGTCATCATAATACCTTATATTTATTGAAACAGCTTGGCAAATGGAAAAAGTCAAAGTGAGCCATCAAGAAAAAAGACACACATTAAAATTTTTTACTCAAATATGCAAGGCCAAGGCCTTTTCTTTGGCTAACCAGAGCTCGTTATTTGTCTTCCAGAAATCATATCCAACCTCTACCACTTCCAGTTCTTTTCTTAAAAATGGAATGAGAACATAAACATACTAGCAGAACAATCTGAATACAAAGGTTTTATAAATGTTTCAATGTGTTTTCTAATTTTTACATTGATCTCATCTGCAACTTCATTTAGTAGTAATTTTTTCAAAGATTTGCCTTATCTACGTTTTCACAAAAAAACAACAGCTTTATTTTCACACTCATATTTCATTAGTTTAAGCAATACTCAATTAAATTCTATAATTACAATTGAAAGCACATCCAACATAAGCAGACTGATGGACAAACACAACTAACTCTTGGTAAGTTTATGCCTAACCAGTGGGACAAGAAGCTGGGCATACCAGTGGGTGGCCCAGTGGGTGGCCCAGTTGCTTCAAGCATTCAGGGAGCAGAAGGATAGCTAGAGAACTAACTTAATCTGTTGAATCAGTTAACTAGAGGTTGGTTGAAAAATGCAATTATATTTTGTACTGTTAATGTAGCATGTTACTATACACATTTTTTCCTGCTAAAGGACTGTAAATTAACTTCTAAACAAGGTAGACCATGTTATGTGGGTATGTCACAGTCTCCAGAAACCATTGCTATAAACATCAGTAGGAACCCCCAAGGGAAGGAGCTCAGCTCTGCTTGAACTTGGACTCTCGCTCTCCTCTTTACTACTGTGTGATCCCGGGAAGGGTACTTGAACTTTATATACTTTATATGAGAACAGTAATACCTGTCCCAAAACTCCTTTAAGCACCGAAGAAGGTATTGAGAAGGCTTTCAAAGCACACATCAGGCACTTGACAAATTTTAGGTCTTTTTTTTGTTTCCTCCCCCAATAAACAGAGGGAGAAAAGAATAAACAAATTAATGGATTAATAAGGAATAAGTGAGTGAGTGAATGTCTTTGTACCCGTAAGGATTGTTGAATGCTATGGCATAGACCACATTCCTGTGGCCCTCCAGGGTGTGAAGCTCTTCTCCAGATGCAGTGTCCCAGACTTTACATGTCCGATCATAGCTTCCTGTGATAAAGCTAACACAAGGAATATACATGAATCACAAAGTGACAATAGCAGTGTGTTAATAAAGACCTCATTTTTTTTTACCCTCATGATTGTAAGCCCATTTATCTTGCTTTTTACAATGGAAACTGTGGATGCAGAACAGTTAAATTGGGAACAATATCCAAATCCTTTGATTAGAAACTTTCCAATTTATCCCTAACCCAAAAAGGAGTCACTAAATAAAATAGAGTAATACTGCCAATAATCATTCTTATAATATAAATAATTAATAGTTAAAGCGTTAATCAGTAACATTTTCTGAAACTCTAACATACCTCGATAAACAGCATCATTCTTCCCATTGGTCAGACCATAAAATCTTAGCACCATCCCTCCTCTCTTTCCCTCACATCCCACACACAATCTATTAGTAAATTCTGTTAGCTCAATCTCAAAATACACCCCTAGGGTGGCCACTTCTCATCAGCGTCCATCGCTTGCCTCAACAAATGAAACCATCTTATAATGAGTCTTGGCTCACACATGGCCCTTATAAGTCTATTTTCCACCCTGAAATTGGAGTTATTTTTCAGCCTTCCTCAGATGGCTTCCTAGCAATCTAGAGGAAGATCCAAACTTCTGCTCATGGCCCACAAGGCTTGCAACACTGGCTGTCTCTGGGACTTCAACTTTACCCCAAAGCACACCCTGTGCCGCCACATTGACCTCTTTGCTAGTCTCTGAGAAACTCATTTTTGTTTTCCTTTATTATACATGCTAGTCCTTCCACCCGTCTGGTTTACTGCCATTGCAAACCTGGAACATGACTGGCACACTAGTAAGTGTTGGATGAATATTTGCTTAAGATTTGCAATCCTTTTACATGACTATTCTACTACAGGAATAATTAGTATGTTGGCCTCTCAAATTTTAAAGTAAAATAATAGTATCTTAGTTATTCCTTAACTATTCCACTAGGAAAGATACTTGCCCAACACAGGGGGAAAAAATGCACAAAATTAGAAAGTCAGTCTCTATGTCAAGTGGGAAGGATAAAAGTTGAGCACAACTCCTGACATTGAAACCCAGATAAACGAAAGGGTCGACAAGGCAGTGTGTCTTTGATTCTTCTCTAAGCATTTCCTCTTAGCTTCTTCAGGGATGTAAATTGGTACAGTCATGATGGAAGACAGGATGGTGGTTCCAAAAAAAATTAAAAATAGAACTACCCTATGATCCAGCAATCTCACTTCTGGGTGCATACCCAAAAAGTGAAATCAGAATCTCATAGAGATATCTGCACTCCCATGTTCTTTGCAGCATTGTTCACAGTAGCCAAGATATGCAAACAACATAAATGTCCATCAAGGAATGAATGGAATATTATTCAGCCATGAGAAAGAAGGAAATGCTGCCATTTGCAACAACGTGAATGAACCTGGAGGACATTATGCTAAGTGAAATAATCCAGCCACAGAAAGACAAATATTGTCTGATCTCACTTATATGTGGAGTCTAAAAAAAAAGAAAGTCAAATTCATAGAAGCAGAGAGTAGAACAGTCGTCACCAGGGACTGGGGAGTGGGACAAATGGAGAGACGTTGGTCAAGGAGTATAACATTGCAGTTATGCAGGATGAGTAAGTCTAGACACACAATGCAGAGGCACGATGACTGTAGTTAATAATACTGGATTGAATACTGGAAATATGCTGAAAGAATGCATTTCAAGTGCTTTCTTCACACAAGGAGTGGTAACTGTGAGGAGGTAATATGTTAATTAGCTCAACTGTAACATTTACTTTACTGTGTATATGTATTTCAAATCTTGTCACCTTAAATATATACAAGTTTAATTTAAAAAAAGAAATTTTTATTCCTTGGTTGTTAAAAATTAGAAATAAAGAATAGAAATGGAAATATAGAAATAAAGAGGTGGAGCACAGAGGATTCTCAGGGCAGAGAAACTGCTCTGTGTGATGTCTTAATAGTGGATCCCTGTCATTATACATTTGTCAACCCTTAGAATGTACGAAAGTTAAGGGTGACCCTTAATGTAAACTACGAACTTCGAGTGATAATGATGTGTCTGTCAATGTAGGGCCATGAAAGAGGGAATCTGAGGGTGTGTGGAGACGAGGTGTACATGGCAAATCTCTGTACCTTCTGCTTAATTCTGCTATAAACCTAAAACCACTATAAAAAATAAAGTCTAATAATTTTTTAATAAATTCTTTTCATTTAAAAATTTTAAAATTTTAGGGGCACCTGGGTGGCTCAGGTGGTTAAGCACCTGCCTTTGGCTCAGGTCATGATCCTGGGGTCCTAGGACTGATCCCTGCATCAGGCTCCCTGCTTTGGGAAGAGTCTGCCTATCCCTCTCCTTCTGCCCCTCCCCACCCCTGCCCTGCTCGTGCTCTCTCGCGCGCGCACGCTCTCTCCCTCTCTCTCTCAAATAAATAAAATCTTTAAATAAATTAAAATTTTAAATAACTAAATTTGAGAACCTTACCATGAGCCTGATTTATTAAGTGCAACATTAGTCAATGGCAGTATATGTGCTCTGAGAACCTTCAATGAAAGAAAACACAATTTTGTTTTAAACTGAAAAAAATTAAGTTTAACTCATTAATTTTAACTTCAGACTAATGAAGACATTCAAGTTTGTCTTAATTATAAATAAATGGACAATAGTCACTATCTGAACAAATGGAAAAAAAATACATTGTGCCTTCTACCATTAAGACCAATAAGACATTTGATAGTTACAAATAACTGCAAAAACATAATTAGATCTGTGCTTTCCATGAATTTGCTTTTAAGATAATGTACTGCTATTAAATAAGATATCAAATAGCACTAATCTCTAATATTTTCTTTTAAGTACTGCACAAGGTTTTGTACATATGCATGAATAGTATATAGAGGAAATATGCCAAATATGTTTTAAATATAGATTTTACAATTAGTTATTACTTTTGGAATCTTAAAGCTCCTCTAGGGTCAGGGTATATCTTATCTTACTTATCTTTCTACATTGTCAAACACATGGTGGATGCTAAATATTTATCGAATGAACATACATAAATTGGATAGTCTGTTTATAGATAGAGTGGTGAGGGTGGGACAGTCTCAGTTATTTCTACTGCAGGAGTATAATTATTAATAGTGTCCCCTTTCACTATCAAAAATGTTCCCTCTGGAGGATAAATTACAAGGTCAGGTGATGTATAGAGTTCATATTTGAAGTTAAATAGTGCCACCTGCTGGAACAAAGAGATACCATAAGAATAATTCTTCAACTTTCAATAATACATTGAAGGGATGACTACAAAAGATTGAATATCTTGTATCAGATAGAATATGTCAAGTATATAAATAACAATTACATTTTCTTATAATTTTATTTAAATCATAAGAAGAAAATCAGTGTAATATGGAACAATACTAGAATAAACCACTAAATATTGTTAAATAATTAGGAAAAACTACAACTGTCCTGAATAAGTGACAATATTTGTGATATTTTTACTTATAGCAAAAGCTATAGAGAAAAATAGGTACATTTATACCGCATTAAAATTATTATATAAGTCATGTCAATAAATAATTTACTGAAATATAGTTTAGTTCACCTGGAAGCAGAAAATATTAAATATTGGTATACCATGAAATACAACTTCTTAATATTACTCCAACTGAAAAGAATTTTAAGTTTTCAATAACTTAAAACTACCTTAATGGTCATCCCTTAAATTTAACATTGTAAAGAACAGCCAAACTTACTACAAATCTCTCTTTAACTCCTCAAGAAATAAATGTTAGAATTTCATTCAGTCAGTCAACAAACAGATACTTGTTGAGACTTAGTCTTAGCAAATATATGTGAGGCATAGAGATAAAGAGGAAATATAATCTGTATTTTGTCTCAGATTGATAGGAAACAACTAATTCACTGAAGTTCTAGTTTTTTTTAATGCATGCATTACCTTAAAAAGATAAAATTTGTGGTTGCTGTGCTGTCTGAGTTTATCTTGTAATCTCTGTATTAAAAGCTTTACTTGATCTGATCGTGAAGCTGTGATTAGAGGCTCTGCTTTCTGTATCTCTTCTACTAAGGCATTGACATCAGTGCTGAAATTCACAAAAAAAAAAAAGTTACTTTTTTCTACGCAAAAATTTGCATACACAGGCAATGCACGAAGAATTGCACTGCATTATGAAGGACATCTATAAAGTGTCAAAATGCCATCAGCTTTACTAAGAGATTTCTGGGGAAAAATACAAATCAATAAAGAAATCAAGCCTGCATGAAAGTGGCTCAGGTTCTTCCGAATGCACCGTCATAAACCGAGATTCTCCCATGGAAGGTGTGCAAGGATTCTGATTTGCTCACCTGAGAAGGCCAAGCGCATACTGGTTCTTCATGAGCTCTTTATTTTCTTCCTGTTGCTTTTGTCTCTTTAGTGAACATATACAGAATGTTCCTGGTACCACTATACTTTGAATCTTATATACACTCTCTTGTTTAATCCTGTAACAACCCACCAATTTAATGCTTTTATCATAATTATTTCAGAGATGAAGAAACTCAGGTTTGAAAAGGTTAAGTTTTAAATATTTTTTAGGGAATGAGAAAGCACCTAACCAAAAATGGACATTCAAAGAATGATGATGATTAATATTTCGTATGGACTATAACATCATTTTCCAAAAAAAAAAAAAAAAAAGCTGCTCTGAAAAGTACAGTCAAGGTTTCCCCCAATACTCAAATAATCTATAGCAATGCTGATCAATTTTGCTAGTCCAGGATAATAATTGTTCAAGAAAAAGAATAATGTCTATAAGCCACAAAGCAGCCAAAATAGGTCATTTTGCAAAAAACATGTCACAAACATGTATCAAAGATGCACTGTCCATCCCCTCCCTCAAGAACAGACTCATGGCCCCGCTGGGATGGGGGGTGGGGTTGCCTAGGCAGCTGACAGCCTCCAGCAGCAGCTCCTTAAGGATCCACCTCAGCATCAGATCCCGGAGCCCCGGGCAGGCCCTCCTCCAGTAGCCCTCAGCCCAGGGCTGAACAAGTGCACGGTGCAAGATCCTGGCCATTTCTGCCCCCAGAGGGACTCTCACCAGTGAGCTTTATCCAGAGCTCCCTGTGGGTTGGCAGAGACTTGTCACATCTGCATCATCATGGTCAATGGCTCTTCATGCCGAACTCTGCTTTGCTTCCTGTCACAGATGTCACTTCTCAATAACCTGTCACCCACCTACCTCTCCTACTTCTGTCTCAACAGCTGCTTCCCAGAAATGCAAACTCAGATAAGCATGCCTCTCCTCTTCTAAATGAACAGTTCCTGAGCTCCAGTCCTTACAAGGCACTGAGCTAGAAGACTATTCATCCCACTAACTTTTACCCTACTGTTGCTTAGGCCCTGGGAAGGTAAAAGTTACAGTCCCAGCTCTCAAGAAATACAATCTATCGGGATAGGAATGAATATCTAGACCAGAAATGAATCAGAGACAGTTTATAATGATGACTTTGATAAATTCCAAGAGAGTCAGTTGTCAAAGGACTCACAGTTTCCTAAGAATTAAGAAGATGATAAAGCCTCTTGGAAAGGTTACCAACCACTGTTATAAATCAAAACAGATTCCCCAGCAAGATCTAAATTCACCAGATATTTAATCTGTACATCCCAACCCTGTGGTGTTCTAATTTCCCATTTCCAATACGGTAACTCCAGTATGTCTCATATCATGCAAATGTTTTTATATGCAGAATTCTTCCAGATTCTTGAGCAGAACCAAAAGTAACATCCATACATTTTTCTACTTGACATTTATATACCACATAGCATGACTACAGCATCCTAAGGATCTACACTTTTTAAAATATAAAATCTGTGTTTTTCTGCATTTCTAGCTGGAAGTTATTCTCTCATATAAACATTAATCTGTGCCACTCATATGATGTTCTTTCTGGTACAAGTTGTTTCTCAAACTAGACAACGCATTCACTGAGGTAGGGATCAAGATTCCTTATAGCCTCTCATTGATTCTAAGCTAGAGCTTTGCATGTAGAAGGTGCAAATAACATCTTTACGGACTCAATAAATGAATGTCTAACAAAGGAACTGTCTACATGCTGGCATAATCAGTAATATGTGCCCGTTACAAAAATAACTGAAATCTTGACTTGATCTTAGACCTTGTCTTACCTGAAAATAGATAAAACAATGACTTGTAGATGAAATTCAATGCCATTATCTTTGCCACCATTTTTTTTTATTAAAAAATAAACAATTGAGTACCTTCTGTGTGTGGTCACTTGGAACAAGAAGAGGACTCAACGTAAACCATCACCATCCGAGCCACACCCTGTCCTCACCCTCAGACAAGTTCCAGAGCCCTCGAGTGGCCGCAGCTCTGACGAGCCATGAGGCTGCTGGGGCTCATTTTAAAACTAGAGAGCAGCTCATTTACTATTTAACTATGGTTATGTGAGACGTGCCTTTGTTCCCCTCCCCGATAATCATGACAAAGGAGAAGGACAGTTACAATGGAAAATCACTTATTTCACTGGATCAACAACTCTGAAACACGTATCGTGGTATTTTTGTCCTATTTTAAAATTTTCTCTCACTCAAAATATCTTTACCTTATCTGAACATGGGCTTCTGCAGGATAATCACTAATCTGATTCTGTCTCTTGAAGTGGAGTTTTGCCTAGGATTTCTTTCTGGTTTGTTTGTTTGTTTGTTTGTTTGTTTTGAGTTTTGCATAGGATTCCCTAAAGGGAATGAATTCTGGGCAGTATGATCTCACAAGAGGATTTCCTAACTCTGCCCCATGACAATTAATGAGGAGGATGGAATGCAGTCAGCCCTGTGTGATGTTTATCTCCCAGGAAAGTAACAGCCTTAGTAGTATTCTTAAAATTCCAATAACCAGTATTCCTCAAAAATGTTAAGGTCGTCAAAAAGAAGGGAAGTCTGAGAGATCCTCTTCACCGCGAGGACCCTGAGGAGACTGGATAATGAAATGTAATGTGGTATCTTGGAAGAGAAAAAGATAATTAGGCAAAAAACAAGAAACATTGAATAAGACATGGTCGTTAGTTAGTAAGAATGTATCAGTACCTGTTCACTAATTCGGACCAATGTACCACACGAATCTACGATGTTAATGATGGGGGATGCAGGGCATGGGGCATATGAGACCTCCTATATTCACAACTTTCTAAAACTATTCTAAACTAAAATGTTAAAAACAACAACAATAACTGGTCTATTTAGGACCAAAAAAACGGCAGACTGATGATCCTTTTCCCATCTCCCCCTCACCCAGCAAGATGCTCAAGCAGAACTCACTGAAGCAAGCAGGAAATAATACAGCACAGGACACTGTTGTAGCAAAGTATTGTCTGAGTTCATGCAGCTCATCCACACATCACCCTGTGTCAGCGTTTTCCAGTAAAAAATCTGGATATGAAACCCAGGTTGCATTGCGTAGCTATTTTACCTGGAACTGAGGTTGAGCAAATCTATGGATTTGGTTTTCAATTCTCCACTCTTTTCATATTCCAACATAATTCCTATAAAAATAAGCAAACATGTTATAAAACACTTAGGATGACAACCAATGTCAAAAGCTAATCTACTTTGCCATAATTTTTTTCATTTATTTTTTAATTTTTTTAATTTCTTGGCATACACAGTGATGTCTGATTCTAAAACAAGACTGTGTGACCTCACTTTTCCCTAGTCCTTCCTCTAAATAAAGCTACATACCCTTGAAATTATTCAACAGGCAATGCTAAAATAACTGAAGGTTGGGTAGAGGGTAAACTGGCTAGAGTTCTCAGGACTTGAGCAATGACAGTGTGGTGAGTTCCCTGGGTTTTTTTTACCTCCCATATACCCCTAAACTGGAAACCAGAGCGACTTGCAGCCTGGAACCACCAAAAAGCATAAACAACAAAAAACAAGCAACAGCAAAGCTTGCTTTCTGTGGCCAAAGGACCAGGCAAAGAGAAGTCAGACAAAGAACTAATGGGGAGCCAGAAGCCCTGCTCCACAACTGGGGCTCCTTAGGCAGTCTGATCCCCCAGTGGAAGGAAGCTCTGGGCTGTCCCAGTCCCCCTGCAAAATTGGGCCCCAGCAGTAATCGGATCTGCCTGCAGCAGCCTGGCAACAAAGACCCAGGCCTCCTCAAGACCCTCAGCTAGGACCCCAGGGGGCCATCTAATCTGTCTACAGCAGCCACAGGGAAGTCCCAGGATCACTCAGTCCCCATTCCTCACCCAAGCCATTGGTGGGCAGCCTCATCCACCCGCAAAAGGGGCAGCAATGAAGTCCTGGGATATCCCAGACCCCACTCCACAATCAGGCACCGAAGCAGTGTCTTCCTGCCTTTCAACCAGTGGTGTCACCAGGCCTAGAGTCTTATCCCCCGTGGCCCCTCCCCCCAGAAGGTCACTCAGTGAGAGCAGGCATACTGGGAAGTACCTTCCACTTTGCAGGTGGCACCAGCTGGAACTGAGCAGGAGACTTAACAGCATCAGAAAAATGAGGCAGACCAGAATAGCATTGCAAGCGCTCATGAAACTAAGCTGCCACTGGAACTAAAGCCCACAATGTAGACCAGAACCTCTATGCTAAATCTAAACATGGTGACAGGCCTGTCAAAGTAAATTCAGATAGGATCAAGAGTCTCCTAACATAAGAACCAAAATGTCCAGGATACAATAAACAGGAAAAGACAATCAATAGATCAAAATACCTAGTATACAATAAAAAAATCACCCATCACCCCAAGAACCAGAGAAAGATAATCAACAAACACAGATATGGTGGTGAATCAGATGCTGGAATTATGTGACAAGGATTTTAAAGGGAATGTCAAAAATACTTTGGCAACCATTCACAAATTCACTTGAAACAAATGAAAAAATAAAAAAGTCTCAGAAAAATAAAAGCTTTTTAAACAAACTAAAAGGGAATTATAGAACTGGAAAGTTCAATGGGCAAAATGAAAAACTTGTTGAGTAGGCTCAGTAGAAGAATGGAGATGACAAAGGATAGAATCAGTGAACTTGAAGACAGATCAATAGAATATATTCATTCTGAAAAACAGAGAGATAATTTACTGGGGGAAAAAAAAAAACCTGAACAGAGCCTCTTACCCACTTTATTGTACTACCTCTATAAATATGGGCCATCGGATCTCAAAAGTTTGGCCTTAAGACCACTTTACACTCTTTAAATTATTAAGGACACCAAAGAGTTTTTGTTTTTGTAATATTTTACGTATTAAAGTCGAGAAATTTTTAAATTATTTATTAAACTTTTAAAATAACAATAATAAAGTCATAGCATGCTAATGTAAATAACATATTTTATAGAAATAACCAAGAAGAGTAGCATCATTTTACACTTTTGCAAATTTCTTTGATATCTGGCTGAATGAAAGACAGCTGGATTCTCATCTCTGCTTCTGCATTCAAATTGTTCCTACACAGTGTTTCAGATGAAATATATGGAAAAAATATCTGGTCATACACAGATATGTAGTTGGAAAATGAGAAATTATTTTAATTGCATTTCCAAGTAATCATGGATAATCTTCTTTAATACTATATTAAAGCTTAACAAGTGGTGGGGCGCCTGGGTGGCTCAGTCATTGAGCATCTGCCTTCGGCTCAGGTCATGATCCTAGGGTCCTGGGATCGAGTCCCACGTTGGGATCCCTGCTCGGAGGGAGGCCTGCTTCTCCCTCTCCCATTCCCCCTGCTTGTGTTCCCTCTCTTGCTGTGTCTCTGTAGATAAATAAATAAATAAATAAATAAATAAATAAATAAATAAATAAATAAATAAAATCTTTAAAAAAAGATAATAAATAAGATAAATAATATAAAAAATAAGATAAATAAAATCTTTTTTAAAAAAAGCTTAACAAGTGGTAATTCATAAAGATTGGTTGCAATATAGAATCTGAAACCACATCACTTAACTCTTCATACTCTGTTACATTAAAATCCATTGGTGTATCTCACACTCAAAGGATCTTTTATTCATGTATGGTTTATACATCATGCACCAGACATCCGAAAATTATTCGTTTACTGAGTTATGCACACCTTCTAAATGTTGGCATATATCATCATACAATATCCCCCCAAAAATCACATTTGTTAATGTCACTACCAATATCTATCATCAGAAAACTCTTTCAGTGTCAGTAAGCTGCCCAGCTCATGACAGTAGATACAAGTTTTCTGACATTCTAATTTTTGCTTGAAAGCTCGAATTCTATCACTGGCAAGAAATGCTGACAGTTTGGCTTGAAAGTTCCAGGCTCACTTTGCTCGTTTCCAAACAAAATGTCTTCCAAATGTCCAAGTCTGAAAGCCACATTTGTTTTTCAGTCTTTCACATAAAACGGGTGTTTCATGAAGAAAATGGCTGGTTCATCTCTCAGCTCACATGACCACACAAGTGTTTTCCTCAAAACAACTATCCAACATCACTGTGCAGCAGAAGGGCTTAATGAGAACTTTCTATTTCATCAGCCAGAATGCAAGTACTCTTAGGTCAGTATTTGACTACATTAGTAAGTTTTACTGCTTCATCAAGGGCATTCCTAAGTGAAACTGAGGGTGTTTCTTCCTATCAGCAATTTGTGTCAGTGAGCAATACAATGACCACTATGAAAGTTTGTTGCTGCCGCCTGATGTGGAGCAAGTTTCCAGAGATTTCACTTCCCAGGGCTTTTGTAACCAGTAGTGCAAATGTCAACACCATGAAAAATCCAAATGGTATCTGCTATTATGGAAAGAGATTTGGCCTTGAGGCCCCACTGAAAAGACACAAGAGCCCCCAAGGGTCCTCCTACAATTTGAGAATCACTGCCTTAACTCCATAAATTTGATATAACAGATGTGATTCCAGAAGCCTTTTAGATCAAGAGAAAATAAGAAATTCCATCCAAAACACTGTATTTACTTTCCAAAGCACTGAACCATTGAGATAGAATGTGGCTGAGTTGAAAAGGCATGCACATGGCATCAAACAGATCCAGGTTTGAGTTCCAGCTCAAGTCCTAACTTATTTCATGGTAAGTTACAGTAATCTCTTTAAATCTCAGTCTTCTCATTTGTAGATAATATCTTCATTTTGCTAGTTGAAATAATATGTATATGAAGCACCTGGCATCTAGAAACTCATTAAGTAGTTCTTATTATCTAATGAGTAATCAAATATTGCCTTGTGACACATAGTCACCTTGTATTACATAAATTGCCTCTATGCCTTCTCTCCCCAGTGAGATTTTAACATCTTTGAAACCATATGCTTCTTTATACTCCCAGGAAGATCCTCCTAGGAATGAGTCATGATGATTTATGCACAGTAAGCCCATGATTTAGCCAACTTCAAGTACAAACAACACTGTCAAATGGATTTACACCTTCCCCTCTCTGGCTTTCATTTCTCCCTCAGTGGTGCCTGTCCCTCCCCGTTGTCTTTATGATCTTTCTGTTTTCTGTCCTCTCCACATCTGACTCACTAGACTATGCACTCCTGGGCCTGTCTTCTCTTTATCCCTGGTGTCTACCATGAAATTTGGTGCACAGGAACTGTTCAAACAGTGCTTGTTGAATACAAGCTAACCGATAGATGACTGGATGAGTGTCCCCAAATTGCTTAATGCAATTGACAGTCCTTATCTTTATGGCACATGGACTTTCAGAGATGATCAACACCATGACCAACTCCCTCCTTCTTCAAATACAATTCTCCATAGGTTTTTATGAAATCTGTCTTTTTTCTCTACTTTGTTACTTTTCATTCTCCTTTACTGATTCCTCCTCTTAGACCTGACCTTTAAATAGTGATTTAGGTTAGGGTTCGGGTCTAGGAACTCTCTCTTTACATTTTTTTCTCTGTATAAATTCGCCCATACCCACACCTTTGATTACCATCAGTATGCCAACAATTACCAGTTGTAATCTCCCATCTAGACCTCTGAGTTCCAGACATGTGGATATCTCACCTGTACCTCAAACAAGTCCAGGATCTTCCCCCTCAATCCTACTTCTCCTACAGAGTTTGTTTCCCAGTGTCAGACATCACCACTCACCCAACTGCACAGTTACAATCCTGGGAGGAATTCATCTCAACACAATCGCACTGCATGGGTTTGGCACAACCTAAGTAGGTGAACCCAAGCAGCTGTTGTGTCATGAAGTATAACATTTTAGAATTGAAAAATCATTCTAGAAGGAAAGATGGCAGAGGAGTAGGGGACCCTATTTTTCAACTGGTCCCTGGAATTGAGCTGGATATCTACAAGACCACTCTGAGCACCCACGAAATGAGCCTGAGATGTAAGAAGATCTGGATCTCTACAAGCAGAATATCGCAGGCAGGTGGTTTTGAGGTACGAAGCAGGGAGCCCTGATTCCGCGGGCAGATATCAGAGGATAAACGGCAGCGGAAGGGAGCCTGTCCGTGGGGATCCTACACCACCGGTGAGGGACAGCCTCACACGCTGGGGACGGGGCACAGACTCGGAGACCAGTAGCGGCAGGGAAAG